CAACATTGAGTGCATATTTCATACATGAATCTCATCACATAATACCCGCACTCCACACCACCCGGTTGTTGAGGACACTACCAAATATGAGTTTTTATGTATATATATATTATTATGTTAAACAATAAAAATATTAATATGAAATATGAAAGATATATATACCTCAATGTGAGTCCAATCAACGTTGTTTTTAGGTCTTCTCCCTCCTAAAGTTTCAACCGATCAAAATGCCCTATAATATACAATCATAAATAATTTATAAACAATAATGGTTAACAATCAACGTTGTTTTTAGGTCTTCTCCCTCCTAAAGTTCAGAACTACGAAACTTTTTTAGATTTCTACAATCATAACAAGGACACGCTATATAATTTTCACCAATTTTACTTGCATATTCCTCGGTAATTTTAACAAACGCTTGAACCCCATGAACGTATTCAAGTGTATTGCGTTTTTTATACATCCAACTCCGATCCATATCTCCTATATATTGTCACACAACATTTAAGAAATGATAAATGAGTTAGTTTCTTAAGTTATAACTTAAAGGTTCAAATTAAAGCTTTAACTAAATAATTTTAAATTAACTAATTCATAAGATAATGGTTGGTCAAATATGATTCCAATACAAAATAAGAGAAGTACTTTAGTAATTACAAGTTCATATCATATTTTAGTCAACAACCTATGCTTAGATGCATTAATTTTCTATTGTAATATATGGTACTACGAAGTTCACGTACCATAGTTTTATCTTAAATTTGGAAGCAAATGAAGTTGATAATCTACGAAACCTCAAGAAGTATGAATAAAATATGAAACTAAACAATACTCTATAGCCCTATCTACCACACATGTACCACCAATCACAGTTTATTTTGCACAAATTTGTTAACAATATAATGCCTAACATATACAATAATACACAACAATTTGTCAACAATACCTAACATATACAATAATACACAACAAATTTGTCAACAATGCCTAACATATACAATACTACACAACAAATTTGTCAACAATGCCTAACATATATAATAATACACAATAAATTTTAAAATAAATAAACAACAATAACAAATAACAAAAAAATAATTAAAATAATTACTGATTTTCAAAAAAAAAATGTCAAACTACGTACGCACCTGCGGTCAGCCGGCGGCCGGCGTTCGTAGCAGCGGCGGTGGTTGGCGTGCGAGGCAGCAGCGGCGAGCGCCGATGAACGGAGGCGTCAGCGGCTAGTTTTTGCCAAATAAATTGCCAAAGGGGCAGATTGTAAGTGTACAAAGTTAGTACACATTAAAACCTTATGTTGGCTAATTTATTTTTAATAATTAGAACTAAGTTAGGCTAACCTCTTGGACCATTTCTTATCATATGATATTTATTTTGAATGGCTCAAATTAAAAGGTTATGTGTGAAGTGGAAGTCAACAGAATATTTATTTGCTTGGAGCTAATCACAAGGGAAGGTCAAAATTATAAGTGATTTGTGATTCTTTTGAGCTATTAATGTGGATCAAGGTGGGAAGGGAATGTTGCTATAAAAGGAAGACTGCTCAACATGGAAACTTACGGTTTTTTCATATGCTAAATTGAGAGGAACGAACTTCTATATAGTGCAACACTTATAATCAGTTTACTACACATATTTTATGAGGGATTTCATCTGAGCTATACAGTTTGTACCTGGGTCAGCAGAAGTATCTGTTGAATAATCCTTTATGCGCTATAACTTAAATGCGGAAGCACAATTAACAATGATCGCATGTAAATCAAATCAATCAACTAAACAATGTTCATGATCATATACTTTTAATTAAATAGGAACGATAGGACTTACTTGGTTCCATTGAAGATGTAATCTCTAAATTGAATGAATCAAGAATATAATGCTTCACCTCTCTGATCCGTATACCTTATTCACCTCCTGATGATACGGAGACTAGAAGACTTAGAGATTTGAAACCGTTAAGATCCCTAGAGTTTTCCTGGGTATTTATAGATGTGATGAGAAACCCTCTTTCAAGAGGAATGGGGAACCTCCTTTAGGAATAGAAATCCCTTTAGGAATGTGACCTCCTTTAGGAATAGAAATCCCTTTAGGATTGTGAAACCCATAACCTTATCCATTATACATCTTTTAAGCCTTATAAGCTTAAATTTTAACAGAATGAGAGGGAGAGAATTTCACCCAGTAATTTCGCCTTTACACATCACTAATCATCAACGTGAGTACCTTATGGAATTACAACATTTATTATATAAATCATTGTTAGGAAATAATTATTTCTAACAGTCACGGCATGCACGTGCAATCCTGAGTAGATGTTAGAAAGGTGTTGTGGTAGTAACAACTATTAGTCTTATGTACGTACCTCTTGTAAAACTATTTGGTGAACATCTATAGTGGATTGGGCAAACGTGGGTTGTCCCGCAGACGTAGGAGACGCGCTCCGAACTGAGTAAACAATTATTGTGTTCTTGATTTATTTTCTGCATTTACTTTTTGTTATTTATTATTTATAAATAACCTAATTAATGGATATGATTGGTGCTTAAAATAAAATCAAGTAGAATTTTAGTAACGTCTTGCATTCAAGATTCACGACACAATTTCACTTATAATGAAAGTACATGTTATCATTGTAATACGATATCACCATCACCAGATCTATATGATTCAAGTGGTTTTTTAGTCCCACCAACAATTAACAAACCAATTCAAGGTGAGTGTATAATAGTGTATTGTCATTGATAATTATTCCCTATATAAGAAGTAATAAATGTTTAAGTTTCGCCTTTACTGAAAAACATTTCTGAATCTATCCATACTTCTTCGCCCCCCCCCCCCCCCCCCACACCCCTCAACATAATTTCTTGCTCCGTCCCTGCTCATCCTATATTTTTTGTTCTCTTAATTCTTTCCATGTAAAGGTCAAACAGACTCTTTTGTATGATCTTCGGGGATTCGCCACCCATCAGGCTGTTTGCCATTAATAATTTTTTTTTTTTTTTTTGCTTAAAAAAAAGAACTGAATTTAAAAAATGAGTGTTCATCAACATGTATGAGTTATCAACCTCTTAAGTGTTCTATAGGACTGGGATGTGAGGATCTTAGAATTAGGGATATAACCTTTTGCGGGAAAAATAGAAAGCCAAGAATGAAAACTAGAAAACTATAAGTTAAATTAGGTCAAAAGATTAATGTCCGATCTTAATGCATGCGTTAAAATGAGGTTGTAATGTCTCTCAAGTTCTTAACTCATGTGTAACCCTTCATAGCAAATTGTTGTTTTCTTCTAGTTTACATTGTAACTCTAAGACAAGTTAAGTCTATAATAAATCAAATAAATTATTCACTCAACATTTGTGAACTCTCTAATTGTTACTTAGTATTTATTTTGATAAGTTCGAGACTAGAATCAGATTTACTTTTTAATGAGTTAAATTTTTGTGATCAATTATGAATATCCGCTACAATAAATAGGTTGGATACCCTTTAGAAATTCAGATGAATGCTTGGATAATTTAAATTTGAACTAGAGGTTGATAACTCATACATGTTGATGAACACTCATTTTTCAAATTCAGTTCTTTTTTTAAGTAAAAATAAAATAAAATTATTAATGGCAAATAGCCTGATGGGTGGTGAAACCCGGAAGATCATACAAAAAGCCAGTTCGACCTTTACAGGCAAAGAATTAAGGGAACAAAAAATAGAGGACGAGCTAACACTGAGACCCACCGCCGCAAGTGCATTGGCAACCTAATTAGCCTTCCGATAAACATGCCTTATCGAAGAACCCCACGACAAGAGGCGAGAGGAAATGAAGAGAATATCTTCCTTTTATCTTTCACGAGATCCTAGCCATAGTAGAGTAAACAATATGAGCAAGAGTGAGAGAATCAACTTCAACAAAAGAAGGGAACATAACCATTGTATCACACCATTGAAGAGTATAATGCAAAGCTAAGGCTTCGACCTCAAGAGCGGAGGAAGTCGACAACGAAAACAAAGCCCAGCAACAATCTATCCACGAGAGTCTCTGAGGCAAGCCTTGCCCGCCGTGCCACTCGTAGGGATCAATGCATCCGTATTGAGCTTTAACCTTCCCGATGGCAGTGCAACAAACCTGGCGATCAAACCTTCAGAAAGAAGAACGGAGTCTGATGCACCTAGGCAGCGAACAGACCGAGAGAAGGAAGATCCATCATGCAAAACAGCCAACTGTAGAGCCAGGAGCAGAAAGAAGCCACCGGGCGTGACACACAGCCTGAACAGAGCTAGCATTTCGCAAAGACAAACCAAAAATCCAGACTCATTGAACGCGGCTGCAATATAATGCAGGAGACAGTGCTCTAAGCCTTCCCCAAATCTCCTAATACTTAAATTTTGGTCCATAAAATTCCACCAATATAATTCAAAACTAGAACAAATTGTGGTCACAATGCAACTATACATTGATAGTATTGTTACATCAAATTATACTCTATTTAATATTATAAGACACTTACAAAATATCTGTGAAGCGCACCAACAGACCGACAATATAAATGAATATATTTGAGCAAAACCGTCTTAGCATGTAACTAATAAAATGTTGACACATTATTTTAATCTATATAAATTAATCCCAACAACATTCTAATACGATAGAAAACAATGTATGAAACCAAAGCAAAGAGGACATTAACAAAAGTTTCAAAAACTAAAATCCAAATTTTTCGAATAGAAATTACGGAAACTAAACTCCAAAGAGAAATGTCAGAAAGCCTCCAACAAAACATGGATAGTAACCCTGGCCAGGTGTGTTGTATATATCTTCAAAACATTAATTTGGTAGTGCATCCAAGTCCTTTCTTCGAATAATGGTGACCTGCAAGACGAATTCTTGCCCCGATGATGAAGGCATAAACTCACAGATGCACTGGTCATTTTCTTGAACAAGGTTCCATTTACATAACCTTCGCCATCCTCCATACAACCGTGTTCGCCCATCACTCCATGTCTTTACATATGCGTTCCATTTTTTACCTTTCTCATCACACAGGATCACATTTGTAGGCAATTCAATATTGTGATCCCTAATGACTTCAATCGGTATATACTGCAAATTAAATTAAAATTACGTAATTGAGATCGAAACAAGATCGACATACCAACAAACTTAGCTTTCACTCATGCATTAACTTAAGAATAAATATAATTCAGTGTACGTGTAGAATAATTACCAGATCGCTGGGTCTTCTTGGCCTGATTTTGGTCACAAAATAAGGATTTTTAGGTTGAGCGAAACGTCCTGAGCTGAAAAGCTCGACTCCAAAATAATCAGGAACATCCCTCTTTTTTGTCACACTGACATTTTTTTTCTTTTTACTAACATCCCTTTTCTTTGCCCTAGCATCCTTTTTCCCAAGACCAACATTCCCTTTTTTAGGACTAGCATCCCTTTTTTTCTCTCTAGCAGCTCTCTTAGATCCACCTAAATTAAGAAAACTCTGTAAATAGTATATGAAATATATGACAAAATGAAAATTAAAGAGACAATCAAGAGAAACTAACTTACCTTCAGTAATGCTTCTTTTTCTCTTGGAACGTGACGTATGATATTGAAAGCCAACATCATTGTTCTCTTCTTCTACATCCATCTCATCCCCGTCTTTCTTAACTTGAGTGACTATGTTGACATCAAACTCTACCAAAAAAGCATTATCTTGAAAATTAACATCATTGCCATTATTATTTTTCAACCCCTTCACTCGAGCTTCTTCACCTTCAATTATTATCTTTTCACAGCCGGATGAGTCAAGTACGAAGAAGTCAAACACAGCAGGATGGTCATAGATAAAAACCAATGTATCTCCATTGATGAAAGAGTTATCCTCTACGAATTTCGCCCAACCATGCTTGAAAAAACAACAATCTCCAGTATCAGTTATCTCTATGTTCCAAACTTTTTTCATACGATTCCTTAGTACAACCTTGCGTGGATATCTCTTCTCTGGTTCCATGTATGATTTGGGAATTTCCTTTTAGAAGAAACATGTTAAATTTGTTAAGTTGATGAAAAAACACAATTGTTTTCAAAATTAGGAATGTAAGGTTTAGGTTTAGGCAACAATGAAACACATAAAAGGCTAGCACAATTTCAAGCAAACTCATAAATAAATAGTGCATTAATTTGTCTTAAAATTACAATCTTAGTCAGAAGCAAAATATTGTCTATCATTAATTATTAAAATAAAAGAGATTTTATTGTTCACACACACAAACATACATACATACATACATACATACATACATACATACATACATACATACATACATACATACATACATATATATATATATATATATATATATATATATATATATATAGCATTAGTATATATGCGTAGGCCTCATTGATGCACACACTTCTATTCTGAATAGGAAAACAAGCAACAATGAAAACAACCCAAAATCCATTTCTATAAAATATTCTTTCTTATTGGTTTGGGTAAGAATAGTTTTTGTGAGGATTTCTAAATGGTAAGTAATATACAGAGTATCTATTATCATAATGCATGTCTTAATTTATCTTAAGATTATAATTAAAACAAGTACGATATGAGAATTTCAAATCAATGTTGTCAAATATATTAGAAGACTATTTCGCAGTTGATGAGCGGCACCTAAGTTTCTTAACCATTAAAAAAAAAAAAGTAATAATAAAAAGATACAGCATAGTCCTACGAAAAAAATAAATTACACTAAAGACCAAAAGAGAAAGTAGAAAAGTAAAAGCCTAGGTAGTAGGTGTGCAAGATTAAAAGCCAAAGCCTTAAAAGATCAGAAGTTGAAAACATAGCGGTGGCTTAGACTGTGGTGTCGAAGGCAGAAAAAGGAGTCCAAGCGGAAAACCATTGGTGAGCTGCAAATGTTTTGAGCAAAATAAAATATTAAAAAAAAAAAAAAAGAAGCCGGCCGATTAGTCGATCAGTTGCCTGAAATGGTAGACTTTGCCTAAGTCGCTACTTTAGCAAAATTTTAAAATAGAGTTTTCTGTTATCCAACAAAAAATTTATCTAAGATTTAAACAATAAGATTTATCCAACTAAACACACAAAAGGCTATATTCTAGCTTAAACATCTTTAGATTCATTTGCACAAACACATACACAAAGGCTAAAAAAAATAAATAGGGTTGTTTCTACCAACCAATTTTTGTGAGCAGGTTTGTTGGCAGAAAATCTTCAAAAAGCTAAAACTCTTCTTTTGCTCGCTTGCCATTTCCAACTCTGGATCACAACTTCTCGCTTCAATTAAGAATAACTTATTAGAATTTCTAAATGACATTATGCTTATTTATTGTAACTAATACCGTAAATTTTAGGAATCTCATTCAATTAATCGTAACAGAATTGTAGATTATAGTAATCTTATTTAATTAATCGTAACGAATAATGAAGATTATAGTAATCTCATACATTTGACAAATTTGAATATTAATATGGAGTTATTTTTTTATTTTTCATTGGCTTAATTTGTTTTAGAATTACAATATAAACTAAGCAAACCATAATCTAGGACTATTTCAAAAATAAAAAAATAAAAAAATCTCAAAGTACTCTCATTCAAGCAGCACCCAAATTACTTGTCATAAAATTATATCAAAAATAAATACTTGACATTTAATACATAACAAAATTTAAATAGCTTATTACACTTTACTTTTTCATATTGTCAAAAGTTATAATGAGAATGTACATTATATTCCTAATATCGAAGGACTTCAAATGCATTAAATATGATTAGTCAACAACTACTACCAAACTAATTATTGACAATACATTTGCATAAAAAATTGACAATAAATTTGGCACCGAGCTTAGTCAACTACTACTACCAAACTAATTATTACATTTACGTCACACTTATAAAGGTGAAAACAAATTCCTCATTCTTTTGGTCAAATCCATCACACATCGTTTTTCTAGTGCAATTTACCTCTCATGTGTAGTTTGTCGACAATTATACATGAGTGCGGTTTACCTAGTTTAAACACTCGGGTCGTAGTTGTGAATTTTCATTGCTACCCAAAAAAAACACACACACACACTGTCACGCCCCACTTTTAGGACATGACACGGCCGTATCGTTACGTGAAGACCTGTAACAATACGAAGCCTAACCATACATACCTCTCAGAATCTTCATAATAACTCTTGAATATACAATAATTCCACAACCCAAAATTACAAAATATAATCGACTTGTTCTTCCCAAAAACTCATCAAATCCACTATTAGATATTTATAATTAAGAGTAGTATGTCCAAAATGCATCACAAGCACCAAAACCAAGCACAATGGTCTACCAAAAATACAAAGGGTCAAAGGGAAAGTCTAAATAAACAAAAATCCATGATAAGCTCCAAAACTAGGACTAAGTCTCCAAGTTTCAAAAGTCACCTTCGAGACCCCACCACTTGTGCTCGTGCTATTCACATGTCCTTAACTACTCTGAAACATGAGAAAAATACAAATAATGAGCTAATGCCCAGTAAGTGATACTCCTCTCAACCCCGGATCAAGTAGCCCCAATATAATACAAAAAGCTTTAGATTAACAACTAGATGAAAAACTCAATCCTTAAATTATATCAAAATCATAACATACTTCCATCATACTATACACAAATTCCCAAAACGAAAAACTTTAGCTACATGGGCATCAATATTATTTCATAATACAATACTTTCAAAAGCACCAATCATTCCTTTACGTATAACTCATTGGCAACCTACAACCACCATTATATTATGTGGCACATGCCATTATCGGTATAATGGTCCAAAAAGACTCGACGATTCGGAATGAGTCAAGCTCGATGATTCAGAATGAGCCGGATAGAACGTTCCAACAAATAATTCGAAAGACTCGACGATTCGGAATGAGTCAAGCTCGACGATTTGGAATGAGCAATTAGGAACGTTCCAAGCCAAACAAAACAAACAACAAAATGTAGGTTGCCTCATGAGTTTGATCAAATAATCAAAATAGTTCTTATAATCAAATAGCCCGATGTAGCAAAAATCATTTGCTTAAAATCACATAACAAAGTTCATATTTCCAAAATAGGTAATAAGTTTATCAAACTAAGAAATATGCAAAGTATAAACCATTCTCAAAATAATAATTTTCTTAGTACATAACTCTTTAAACATCATAGAATAGTTTATTAAACCAAAGTAATTTCAAAAGTATTGAAATGGCTTAGTGGAAAGAACTTAAAGTTAATAAATAGGAGGTTAAGAATTCAAGTCTCACTTTAAACAAACAAACCATTTTTATAAGGCATATGATATAAAACAAACACACACAATATGCTAGCTGTTGGAGTCAAACCCACGCCCTACTACCTGCATAACAACCACAATACCACTCTACCGTCTCTATGCATGGTAATTGTATCAGTCAGAATTAATTTAGCTTAAAATACATTCCGAAATCACAATTCCAACAAACCCAAATACAATTTCAATCCAGAATTCAGCTTAACATTTCAGACCCAAAACATAATCATAGTCCAAAATATTTTTAACTCATACTAACCTTAAAATGGGGATTCAAAGTAGTGGAGATTATTTCATAATATTTAGGGGTTTTCCAAAATAAGGAGAGAAAAGTTAATCCCTTATCTAAAAACATCCAAATCTTAGCTATTAAGCTCGCCCAAATACTCCTTGTCAAAATCCCTAATATTTTCAAACATTAATCTTAGGGCTCAAGTGATAAACCCAACTCAAAGAGTGAAATATAGAGGTCAAACTTACCTAGAATACTCCAATAGCTTTGAGATCTAAGCTTGAAGAAGATGGAGATCAAAGCTCCAAGGTTTTTCTTTCCCCTATCTCTCTCTAGTTAGCTCCCCTTATCTTCTTTCAAATGAAATGTTTATCCAAGACCAAAGTGGTTCCTTAACCTTTAAGGGTAAAGAGGGGTAATTTAGTAAATTCATCCAATATCAATTTTAATAACCTTTGACTTGTTGACTATTTTAATAACATAGGTATATTTTTTTATTTCCAAGATAGTGGGTATTACACACACATTCAACATTAAGCCCATGAATAATATCCTGCAATTGCATAAAATTAATTCACTCCGCTTTATAATTGGTAATTTTTAATTGTGTTCATGAATGGGATAGTTTTTTCACTTTATTTAGGAATGATGGATTTTCAGCAATCAACAAAGAAACCTCACACATATGCACTCAATATACATAAGACATGAAAGATGGGTGTGTGTATATGTATATATATATATATATATATATATAGAGAGAGAGAGAGAGAGAGAGAGAGCATACCTATGCTTTTAAGTGCAAGTGAAGAACAAAAAGAAGTAAATCTCTATAATGAAATTCCAAAAGTGAATCAACTAGCAAATTTATATTACAAGTTCAACTAAAAACAACATAGCAACACATACAAAACAAGAAAAAGCAAACCGAAAATAATCTCATAAGTGAAAAAGAGAACTTACAACACTGATTAAGCAAAGAATTTGACAAGCTCGACAATACTTGAGTTCGGCTAATGGTTATATAGGAGGTTGATGGCTACATGACATTTTTCTTC